TGTTTTCTCCAGACCCACTCGGTCTTGAGAGCGTTCACCGTTTTGTTTATCATAAGGACAAATAAATTGCACTGCCTGGCTAAAAGCTTATTAATTTTAACTAAATGCAAATCTGAAGTGTGTCTGGGCTTCTTCAGGAGGCAGCGCCCGCTAAACAAAGATGTCACGTCGCAAGCTTGGAGTTTATTTTACACAGAGCTCGGAGGAACTGAAATACAAAGCAAAAAGATGAAAACTATTCTTAACTTCTTTGCCAACAAGTCCTTGTATGATACTGTGCAAAGAAGAAAAGTTGTAGAAGTACATGGCAGATGAAAAATATTTAAGCCGCACAAAAGTCACTGACAGATAACATCTACTCATCTCACTATTTGTACAAAGTATCTTTTATATTACTGAAAAAAAAAAAAAAAGAATAAAGGGTGCTACATCAGCTTGTGGGCTGCTTGTGGATCAAAAGCGTTACCTTCAGTGCAGGCTGAAAATAGAAAACAGATAGACACGACTGTGAAGTTTTTCATGTGAAAACGTGGGAGACGAGCTTGCGTCAGGAAGAACTGGACAGAATTTCACTGAAATGGAAAATACGTAGGTGAGTAAGTAGGTGCATGTGACACAAGAGATAGGAAACCTGGGTCTAATAAAAGTTTCTGGTAATACAGATGGCCTGATTTTCTTCCCCTCTCATGACACATTACCGAAATTTAAATTCTCTGATTTCAATTATTACACTATTTATATTGCTGTAATACCAAGAGTCCCCGTAGAGAAGAGGCCTCGTTATTAATGTAATGCAAACAACTCTAATGGCTCCAGCTTCAAAGAAATCCTAAGGAAAATGGGTAAAGGAGATGAAGAGTGGCAGAGAGGAAATACCAGCACGTCTGCGCGCATGAGGAACTGCAGCCCTGGGAGCTCACGGGATGTGGTCAAGGTGATGGAAACCCTTCGTTAGCACAGATCTCCGGTCCTGTCCCGTCGCACTCCTCTCCTGGTGCTCTTCGGATGCTCTTTGGGAGGGCTCTGCTTCTGCTTGGAGATGGGCGGCCCAAAATCAACAGAAGAAAACTGGGACTGCGTTTTGTTCAGCCATCGTGCAAGAGACTGGGTGAAGTGTTATCCCTCACTGGGATAAATTCTCTGGTGTTGCCAACTTTGAGGCGAGGGCGGTGCGTGCCAAAGGCTTTCCGAGGTTGCCAGCAGCTGTCCCACCTGTGCAGCTACTCAGGAGCCCACACCGCTGCTCAGACTCAGGGCTGCTCTGGGGCTGCGCATCTCTTTGTCCCATTTTTTCAAAGTTTCCTGCACACTTCAACTCCAATTTCTATGCCTACGGTTTTGGGCCTGGCTCTCTTCTTGTGGTTTTTTTGTGGATTTTTTTCTCCTGACTTCGAGTCTTCCTCTACCCGTATCGTTTCTGTCTGCATCCCGTTGTTCGGTCCTTTAGGTGCTGTCATCTTTCCCATCGCAGACGGATATGTGTGGGTCGCTCTTCACTGACTGTGATCCCTTGTTTCCTGCAACGTGTTCTTTGAAGCTTTGCAATCTGGTTGCAGAATCCTATTTAAAGGATCTACCTTTTTATCTTCCCCCTACTTTTATATTTAAAGACTGAACTGGAGTTTACCTATCAGTTATACAGGTTTCTTTATTTTGTCATCTTTCGGAAAAATGCATAGTACGTAAATATAATGACCTTAAATCAGAAAAACGTTGTTACTTGATTTACAAAATAAGCTATAATGTGCATATATCACACTGAGGACAGTTGGGAGTTAAGCAAGTGCATAATCTTAAGCATGTGCCCAAGCGCTCGTCTGAATGAGGCCCCGTGACTGGGCTGCAGTGCTTTCTCTGCCTTCTGCAGGAAGCTGTGATTTTTATCACACCCAATAATTTAAATAAAAAACATTCAGATAAGCAGCAAAATATTTGGCTGAAGGAAAGCAACTAGATAGAAATTGATCTTGTGTTTTATAAATGCTATGGCTTCAGAGGAGTTTGCAAACCCTAAAGCTTGTCTGTTTTGTTTCCCCCAAATAAATTATCTCTTCCAATAAAGATATAACTGCTGCCTATAAACCTGTCTTGATGTCTGTCTCCAGACTATCAACACTTCTGCACAATATGCATTTTTAGTGTGCAGATAAATAAGCATGTGTGTAGGATTAAATTTGCTCATTGTAACCTTACTTTGTTATGCAACACAAGCACCGCTTTGTCATGAGAGAAGAGGAGTGACAAAATTGAACCGCGCTTTTTGTAGATATTGTTCCCTTTTCCCGTGATATTTTTATAGCAGTTGCACTTTCTGGGCCATGCCATGTAATGAGGGAATAACACATCTGTGCACAAATGCTGATCCCTCCCCCTCTCATTTTTCTTCTGTTTCGGGTAATATTGTGATGTTAATGCTTTATAGAATTAATAAGAAAGGCAACTTGCATGTGCAGGAGTACCAGAGAGACTGTGTGATGCTTCCTTGATATCTAGCTGCAGCTCCATGGTGTAAGACTGTGTAGAAGCGACATAGACAATGTGTCCGTGGGAGGAAAAGTATGATCGTAGGGTTTCTTAAAATTTAGATCTCATGAAACTTTCAGAGTGCAAATCCTACAAAGTAATAGAAGGGCTTGAGTCATTTAATTCATAGTTCAGACTGCTCTAGTGAGCAAGAGGAAAAAAAAAAATCAGGGCTAGAGCCAAACTTTTCTCATTTCTCTGAGATATGCTTCATAAATTTCTGTTCTGTACAGGGAGCTTCACGCCTGATAATCAGAATAAAGAGCTGTGAGGTTGTCTAGACCCTCCTAGGCAGATGAGATGGTATCTCAAACGCCTCCACAGGGGTGAACCCAATCGTGTGCAGGGTTTGGAGCATCCCTTCCAAGGGCTGACACTGCGTCTTCCCAGACCCCTGTCACCTGGGCTTGGGCTGCGCTAAGCGTGGGGTGAGAACCCTTTCTCTACAGGAACACCTCTCTCCAATATACTTTATCTTTTTATCTTAGTCTTTTTTTTTTTTGGGGGGGGGGTTAGAGAAAGTATCATATTTTTAAAAGCATACTTGAAAATACTGAACTTTTCTTCCTCTCACTTCAGCTTAACACTAATGACTGTGTAGATGTTTTTAAGCTAATTCTAACAGTGACTAAATCGGTCTCATTCTGCCCAAAACACAGCTTTTGGTCCTCAGAGAGTGTTCGGTGACCAGAGAGGGCAGGTCAGGATGCCGGGTCGGCAGTACGGAGCAGTGGGCTGTGTGTGTAGGTCTGACCCCACAGCTCTCCTCTCACTCCCTTCACATGGTTCAGCCCCAAGATGTGGTTGAGCTGCTCCTTCCCCTGTCACCTTCCCTCTGCTCCTCCCGGCACAAAGGCAATGGGGGAAGGATGAAGACAGGTCATGCTGACCTTTCTCCGTCTCAATGGAGGATGGACACGTTTCTAGAGCACCTGGGAAGACTGGTGCCTCATCCTCCCAGGGTCCAAGTGCTCCAGAGGGCTCAGTGTGGTGGTAGGTCAAGAGTGTGGCAAACCCCACCAGCGTTTTGACTGTCCCATGGCACCTGGAAGCCAGCCCTATCTTCTCTTTGAGATTTATTCACAATACCATTTCCAGCTCTTGTACTATGATACTGGTTTTAGGACTCTGCTTTGACAGGCACAATACCATTAGTATGTTTAGTGAGAGGAAAACCATTTGATAAAAGTTGCATGCAAATAGCTTTTTGACACTGTAGTATGAATTGAAGTCATCTGACTGTGTAGGAGTAGAGCATTATTTCAATGAGAGTTTACATTCTCTTTGAGACTTTTTTTCCGCCACTAATGAGAATGTGCATCCTTGATCTTATGGGGTTCTCAGTACTTCGTGACCTCCTTGCGTGTTCATATCCAAATGCTGAGGCTGCTAAGTAAACAGTCAGTCTTTTGCTGTACACAGTTCAGCCTTGTTAAAACGGAGTACAACTGGACATTTCCATGTTTAGAGGGGAGGATGGGGCATTAAGAAGTGTTTGGGGGATAATGAAATACCAAGGATTAAACCTGGTAAATCTGCTTTGTACAATAAACCTGGTGCTTTCGGGAACCCCAGACTGGGTCGTTACATCTCTGCTCTGTCTCCAGCTCACAAAGCGTGAGGACCAGCTCACCCCATCACAGAAGCAGGAGTGCCGTAAGGGAGAATCTGGGGTTGCTGCCTGCCCTTCGGGAGCCTGTGTCGTGCAGGGTTTGTTCGCCCCAGGGAGGGGAGGGCTCCAGTTGCACCCCCAGGGCACTGTCCCCCCCTCCTACCACCCCTGATTTGAATCTGATCCAGTGCGGCTGTATCTGGGAAGAGGGATGGGGAGAAGAGGGATTGGGGAGTGGAATGATCAGGGCTAATTTCTTACCTTAATTATGGAAAAATAGTCCTATAAAATCTTATCTCTTCTAAATCGCTGCAGCTTGCTGACTCTCTTAATGATGACACTGAAAAGACAGCCACCTACTGCAGCCCTCCCTGCTGTCATCTTCAATGGAAAAAAAAAATAAATTCCAAACTCTAGTGGGATTATTAATGTAACACTTTAAGCAGTTGAAAAGACGGCCACCTACTGCAGCCCGCCCTGCTGTCATCTTCAATGGAAAAAAAAAATAAATTCCAAATTTATTCTAGTGGGATTATTAATGTAACACCTTAAGCAGTGGTGCCAATACCTCTCCAAATTTTTTTATTTAAGTCTTGCATCCCAGCTCCTTATCTTTGCATCCTGGTTTCTCCACTCCTTATGTGCAGTCTTTGTCTTCTGCGGCTACAGGAATGTGCCGTGTAATCATCAGTGGAAATCACCTCGACACTTCTCACCCAGAACCCCAGCTCTCTTGGAAATTTGTGTAGGTGTCAACACTTGACAGTATGACCCCACAATGGTTTAATATTTAATTCTTTTCCTGAATTATTTCCTTTTGAAATATGCTGCCGGGTCCCTTAAATAACGAGTTGCACGTTGTCAGACGCTGTTCCCGACTAACCTGAAGTGCTTCTCCCTGTCCCTAGGCGAGAATGTGGACAGCAAATTGGAGTCCTCGAGACAGCAGATGCCAAAGGACCAGTCAAAAGATTATGAGATAACAGTTCCCTTCCTTTTGAATGGAGAACAGTGGAGACCAGGAAATGGCTTTTATTCAAAGGTTAGTTTTCATTTTGCCTATTATTTTACTGTAAGATGTATAACAATTGGAAGCCTTTAGGGGAAAGTAAACGCACTTTTTTTCATCATATCTGTTATAAGCGTATTTTTTATATTTTTGTGGAGAGCTCGCTGTCTAAAATTGTTACTTACCTGATTTACCAAAATGGATAAGTTCTTTGGTTGAAAGGAATACTTTTTTTTGTGTAAGGTGGCATTCTTATTTCTGATGGCAGAAATGGAACCTCGACGTGAAACAGCTTGTTTAAAGAGGTTAACCTACACCGCTTGACATTATATCGTACAACAGCAAACCAGCCCCAAAACTGAGGGAGGGGCAAAGACAACAAACACGTTTGTTTCATTAAATACAGTCTGGCGGCAAGGACTCGAAGGAAAAGCGTAAATAACGTTGCTTCGTTGACTGCAGCCCGAGGCATTACCTGGAGCCCATCGGGGAGGTGGCCCCCCAAATGCCGTCCCACGGAGGGAGCGGGGGCGAGTCGTCCTTCACTCTGCTCTCCCTTTGCCTAACCAGGGGATGGTCTGTCACTGCCTCTAAGCGGGGATTGTTTCCCCCTCTTGACAGGCTTTCCTCCCTTTTTTCCCCTCGGACGTTGGCTGATAATAGAGGTAGCTGGTTTTAGGAGAAAAGGGCTGTTTTCTGTCTCCTTGGTCTCCTGCTTGAAGTATGAAGGCAGGTTGTTGTTGATTATCACCAAAGACGTCGTGGGAATCTCTTACCCAGCCTTCTTAACTCAGGTCCAGTTTTGTTCCACCTTACTTTTTATATTGTTCTTTTAATTGTCAGAATGAGGAGAAAAAAGTTAAATTTTTAAATAGTTTAAAAAAAAAAATTAAAAAGAAGAAAAAAAAAAAAAAAAGGCAACCTCCATCACACACAGACAATGCAGACAGCCCAGACAGCCCATTACAGCTTTCTTTATTGCACTGGGAAAGTGTTTCATGCAGAAATCCTCCTTGACTACTGCCACTGTTTGCAGGACACGGTTTTGAATCATGCTGCTGACTGACAGAAGTAGGTGGGAAAAGAGATTTCAAAACAAGGCATCTGACTTTCAAAAAATCTTGTCTGGATTAAAATTTTTCTTCCTTTTTCTTCTTCCCTTCCTAAATGGAAAAGAAGGGCCAGTCCTAGTTTCGAGTATCTGCAGTGATGAAAGGGATATCATTGTGGGTGTGTAATAGCTTATCTTAAAGAGATAACACAGATGGCTTGGTCCTAGATGTATGTGCAACTCTATTTTTAGACCATTTAATTAGAAACAGGCATTCTCCATATAGAGTTCCTTTAGCTACTCACTGTAGCTTTCTGAAAGAATTACAACAGAGTATCTTTATGTGAGTAATGATAATGTGATTTATATCATTAATTTGTTTCCCAGAATTGCTTTCAGTTTAAGATGAACATTAGAAAAGATTTGTGGTTTGGTAGACAGATCCACGTGCTGTATCAGCACTTTTTTTTTTCTTTGAATACTTCTTTTCCATGGAAACTGTTATAAATTAAATAGACAAAAGTGCAGATCTTGCTGTGGGAAGAACAACAGCATTAAAGTGGTAGAGGAGAAGAGTAATTAATAGCTTGTCACATAAATATTGATCAAAAGCACAAAAGTTAAATACTGTTGTATTTCATGGTTAAATAGGACCTATTGTTCTTCAACTCATTTCAAAGTGTTCCTCCGTTTTATTTTAATTTTATATGAAGTAAAAAAAAAAAAAAAAAGTATGAATTACTGCATACTTGTAACCAGGGGAATGGTATGGCCTTACAATATATAGTAAAATAAATAATGTAGTGGTTATAAAAATGCCAAAGTATTAACGTTATTTGTGTATAGATAATTGCCTCACAATGGTAGTCCCGTTCTCCAGTCCTTTGATTGTAAATACTCCTGCTTAACAATTAGTCCCTGAGAAACCATGCTAGTCATTTAGTGCAGCTTACTCTTTCTTTCCCATCTTGAAGATAAAACTGTCCCTTTATTTACCCCCGGAGTCACTGCAATATCTGTTGGAATATCTCATTTATAATCTGTCAGGAATTATTATTAAGCTAATGACTTTCTCGTTGAGGGCCATCTATGCAGTACATTGTGCAGAGCAGAAGCAAAAAAGCTGAAACTAGTCACAGTAATTGCACAAACACACAGATCTGCTCACCAGCAGCAATAAAATTACATTTACCAAGAAGAAAAAAATAAAAGAGTTACTTAGCTATAACCTGGTTTTACTTTAATACAGTTAGGGTGCACTTTTTCAAGGTCATCTAATGGTTGAGGTACTTCCTAAGACTGACAATTCAAATTAATGATAGGGAAAATCCAATTTTAAAATCAGACATGTAATCAAATTATATTTAAAGACTTTGGGTTTCCCTAAGTATAAATGTAGTGTTTTGTTTCTGGAAAGAATCTATCGTTTACTGGGCAGATCGATTTTCTCCCCTACCTCCCCACCCCAAGTCAAAGCTGTAAGAGACCAAGACCTGGATCTCATTGGGGTTGTATTATTTCAGAAATGCTATTGCTTCTTTCTGGTTTAAAAAGATGCATATGTTCATGCAAACACTTTATGTAGTGAAGCACATTATAAAATAAAATATATATACTTAGATGTTACTAGGGAAATGCACATATGTTTTTGCAACCGTACGATGCTGTTCATCTTGTTAGTGGTAGTTAACATTTCTCCTGGCATCTTCTGTTGAGTTCAGAAGATATAGATCATTTTCAGTTGGAGTATTCTAGTGGTGCCCAGTTAAACTCTTCTATTAACTGGAAATAATACTCAGTTGCTAATCCTGAACACATGCTGCTAAAATTAGTGGCTACTATTTTGAGTATCCAGTTGTTAGTCAGGACTACTGATGAGTAACTGTCTTTGTGGGCGTGTGGCAGCGGAATCAGGACCCTGAAGTGTTGTGCAACGTTGCTCTGTGCTTTCAAACAATAGCTGCCCATATTCAGTGCAGATGTGATTTCCGTCTTCGCTGAAATTTTGTGTGCATTATAGAATGTGTTGATAGGTCATTATACATTATAGCTCCGGTTCTCCTTCCACTTTTCTTTTTCGTTTGTTCATCACTTTGCAGTCTGTGTTGATCCCCCCCCCCAGTGCTTGGTTTACACCCAAGAGGGTTGGGTTCTATTTTTCTTAAATTTTTCTAAGGTTTGAACAAAATTATTTCATTTTCATATTATTCAAGTACAGGAAAAAAGACTCTTTTCCCTGCATGTTTCCAGCTGAATATTTTTCTTCAAACTTGGCTTGAGATTTGCAAATCAAGCCAAGTTTGATGGAAGTTGGGTAAGTGATGTTTTAGTACACAGAACACTTTAGGGAAGATTTTTAGAGGACCATCTGTTTGGCTTCAGCTTTTATCCTCACACCCTGTTAGGGACACACACTGGTTAATGTGTGCCAGATCCCTGCATCACAGGAGCTGTAGGTCAGGTAACGTTGGTTGCGTTAGACCGGAGCCTGGAGCACGTGCCTTCTCTTGGAGAGACAAGCGCTAGGCAGGAAACGTTTCGCACGGGCATTAAGGGTTTCTTGGCTCCATTTCTATGCTTAAAAGGTCATAACTGTGGGGAAACACTGCCTGCCAGGGCCCATCCAGGGCAGACCTGAAATAGCTGTAATGCTGGGGGAGGTCCCAGCATGGCATTGCCTTGAGCTGCATTCATTCTCCTGGAGTGACACACTCATTAATGAAGTTGGCTTTGTATCCAGGGTTTAGTCCAGATCTTAAAATGCATTAAGGTTCTGGGAAATTGAAAGCATTTTGTGCGTATATGGTATGATCAATTATGCAAGTAAACACAGAGTCCTCAGGTTGTGGCATCTGCCACTCAGGTGTGGGGTTTTTCTCTAGTCTTGGCTGTGCAGGATCTGTAACGCCATTGCTGGCACCTGCAAGGACTCAAAAATAATCATGAGGCTGATCAAGTGCTTTGAACGATTTAATCCTCTGAGGTTTCTAAAAGCATATGAGCAAGTTAGGTGCAACTGTCCCTACTGGATGATACTTTGCATCTTTTGATGCTTGTGCACATACTTTTGTAATTCTGATCTCTGTATTGTTTGAGTGCAATATTAAACTGGTCCATACGTAGCTGCGTGCTCCAGTCAGGCTACGATTGCCATTCGTAAAGACAAATTTGAATGCCGCTGATTTTGCTGAACCTGGGCAGGTATTGAAGGACCTGTAGCCAAGCAGCATGGAGCTGAACATGGTTTCTGAAGAACCACATGAGAAGCTGGAAAGGCTTGAAACGCTTTGGTTGCTTTGAGTTTGCAAGATCCCAGCACAGGTTGCTTTCAAATTATGCAGAGAATTTGCTTTTTAACATTAAATTTGGGTGATGTATAGAGGACAATGAATAAATTTTGCTGTGTAACCTCTTAAAAATAAACTATGAGAAAGTAGATGCACACAAGATACCTGTCAAAGGATTAGACCCTTAGTACACTTGAATCACAGTGACTCTCACCTGACTCTTTTAAAGTCTTGCTACTGACCTCAATATATAAAAAGTACATTGGAAAAGCAACCTTTTCCCCACCTTGCAGAGCGTTAGACCTCTCGTTCGGTGGCGGATGCTGGATGGCTTTCCACACACTAGGAGATTCAGATGTGTTGCTGTTGAGGTTAGAGACAAGTGAAGGAAAATAAAGATGCCCGTGGTGGGCAGAGAGGACGGGAAGACCTGCAGAGGGTTCCCTGATGAAGAACAGCTATGACTCCAACATCGATGACTTTTAAATCCAAATAAATCAGAAATTCGTTTCCCCTTGGGGGAGAGGGGGACTGATTCAGAGAACATTAAAACTGTTTCACCTACTTTAAGCTTTCAAGGCCAGATACTGAGCTAGTGTGAATCAGTTTCCTTCCTTTGGCTGGGCTGGTATAAATCAAGTTTGCAAATCGAAATCTTAAAGACATGTTTTCAAAAAAGGAGAAAAGAAAGATGA